AATGAGAATGGCTTCGTTCGTGTGTTTTTTGATAAGTATGATGTCTGGTCTGTTAGCTGTAATGTTTAAGTCTGTAAGTATTGTGCGATCCCAGTATAATTTGTATTTGTTATTTTCAAGGAATGGAGACGGAATGTAAGTGTAATAGGGTGTCGTATCTTCGATTAAGTTCATAAGTGTTGCTAATTCTTTGTGAATGATTTTGGCTGCGTTGTCGTGTCTAGCTTTGTAATCAGTTTGTGCTAGGATGCTGCAAGAAGAGATTATGTGCTGGATCGTTTCAGGTTTTGCTTTGCATAGGCGACAGCAGTCGTTTTTTATGTTCGGATCTTTGATGATGTATTTTCTATAATTCTTGGTATTGATTACTTGGTCTTGAATAGCAAACACAAATCCTTCTGTTTCGGCATACAAACTTGATTTTTTTAACCAAATCAATGACATCTTCTTATTGACATGATTTTCTTCTAAGTCTTTGTAGAATTTTCCATGTAGTTGTTTTTGTTTTAGCCCACTTATTATTTTATCTATTGTGTAGGGGGTGTGGATTTCTTCGGTGTTCGACAAATTTAAGGGTGTGTGGTTCAAATCTGCTCTTGTGATGGTGCGAAACATTTCATTTCTTTCCGCTCGTTTCAAGAAATACTTCTTCAAATCTGAGATTTGTCTCTGATATAAGTTTTCTAAGTTCTGGAAACCCCTTCCTCCATTCTGTCTTGGTAATGAGAATCTTTCAATCGACGATTTTGGGTGATGCCTTCTATTCTGTGTGAAGATTTTCCTTGTTGCGATGTTTAAATTTTCAAGATCAGTTTTGGACCATTTAATGACTCCAAAAGAATATGTTAGCAGTGGAACGCAGAATGTATTTACTGCTTTCATTAAATTTTTTCCATTTAACTGTGTCTTCAATATTAATTTTAATCTCGCTACGTATTGATCTTTCAACTGTGTTTTCGTTTTGGTATGATTGATGTGGGAGGATTGACAGAAACCCAGATATTTGTATGTATCGTTTCGTTCTTGGGCTTCAATTATTTCCTTATTCTGTGTTATATGTGGTACTTGGTGAAACACGCCTTTTCTGATTGCTTGGGTCTTACATTTCTCAATACCAATATTATTATTATTATTATTATTATTAAAATTTATAAAGTTATTTTTCTGAAAATTCTAAAATTTCAAAATGTCTATATAATATTCCAGAGTAAAGGTTGCAAATAAATACCCCAAAAATCATAAATAGTACATCGATGTTAAAAGAAATTAGAAATCCGAAGAATCCTACATATCATAAAGATTCTAAAAATTCGTGTGATTCTAACAGTTCTAAAGATAACAAAAACGTTAAATATGCCAGAGGTCCTAAAGATTCTAAAGACGTTAAAGATGCTAAATGAGTCTTAAAAAGATCTTGAGGATAATAAGATGCCCAGACAATCTAGGGATTTTTTTTAAAGATTTTTGACATCGTCAATATTTTTATATTACAAAGATTCTGAAGTTAATAAGGCTCCTCGTGAACCTAAAAAGATTCCAAAGATATTAACGATCTCAATAACCTCAATGGTCTTAAAACCACAAAGGTCTCAAAATCCCAAAGATCTAAAAGATCACAAAAATTCTAAACATCATATTGATCCGAAAGATTCTAATGGTTATAAAGGTTCTAAAATGTTTAAAAAGATTTAAATATCTTGCAAATATCTTAAAGGTGTTAAGTTTATCAGAAGCCTGAAATGATAGTAAAGATCGAAAAAGATCCTACAAATCTTGAAATGAACACTTAAAGATCATAGAAACCTTAAAACCATCCTAAAATTCCTGAAAAACAAAAAATTCTGGGATCCTAGAAACCATAGAAATCCTGTTTTCTAGAGATTCTAAAGAGTTTGAAAATAATAAGGACCATAGACATCTTAAAGACAAACAGTCAATAAACTTGACTATTCTAAAATCACAGATTCCAAACCCTAAAGATATAAAAGATGACAAAAATTCTAATCAGCATAAAAATCCTAAAGATTATCAACATTCTAAAGTCTACGCAGATATGAAAGAATTCAAAGATTCTAACGATTTGAGGATCCAAAGTTTCTAAAAATATTGTAAAGAAAGAGTCTGTAAAGAACATACAAATCTTAAAATAAACTTTTAAAAACCTTAATAAGAAAACCTAAAAAGATCTTAAAGTTCCAAAAAATACAAAAGATTCCTGGATTATAGAAATAGTAGAAATGGTCAAGATTATAGAAAAACTAGATATACCAGAGATCTCAAAAATCCCAAAGGCATTAGAAATTCTGCAGATTGTAGAGATGTTAGAGACTCTAGACATTCTATATATTTTAGTGATACTAAAGCTTGTAGAGAATCTAAAAATTCTAAAGATTTTAAAATAGAAGTATGGGGAATTTTAAAATAATTACTGCATATTTAAGATTAAAAAATCTCGTGATCTAAATCTTTTTATCAAAGTAGTGATAATTTTGGTCGTGAAATATCCAAATTACTCCAAATAACCAATTGATAAGATTATGGATATTCTCAAAATTTTAAACATCCCAAAGACCTCAAAAAATTATAAAGTTATTTTTCTGAAAATTCTGAAAATTCAAAATATCTATATAATATTCAAAATTAAAGGTTGCAAATAAATACCCCGAAAATCATAAATAGGACAAAGATTTAAAAAAAAATTAGAAATCCGAAGAATCCTACATATCATAAAGATTCCAAAAATTCGTGTGATTCTAACAGTTCTAAAGATAATAAAAACGTTAAATATGCCAGAGGTCGTAAAAATTCTAAAGACGTTAAAGATGCTAAATGTGTCTTAAAAAGATCTTGAGGTTAATAAGATGTCCAAACAATCTAGGATTTTTTTTTAAAGATTTTTGACATCGTAAATTTTTTATGTTACAAAGATTCTGAAGTTAAAAAGGCTTTCGAGAACCTAAACAGATTCTAAAGATATTAACGATCTCAATAACCCTAATGATCTTAAAACCACAAAGGTCCCAAAATCCCAAAGATCTAAAAGATCACATAAATTATAAAAATATTAAATATTTCCAAGACTCTGATGATCATAAAATGGCTGAAGCTATTAAAGATTCTGGAAATTTTAAATCCCTGAAGACTCTGAAAAGATTCTACATAGATCTAAAAAAATTCTTGAAAATCTTAAAACAAACTTTTAAAGACCCTAAAAATCGTAAAAACATCTTGAAATTCCCAAAAATACAAAAGATCTTGTGATCTTAAATATCCTACAAAAATTCCAAAAACCCTAAAGATATAAAGGAACACAAACATTCTAAACATCATATAAATCCGAAAGATTCTAATGGTTATAAAGGTTCTAAAATTTTTAAAAAGATTTAAATATCTTGGAAATATCTTAATGGTTTTAAGTTTATCAGGAGCCTGAAATGATAGTAAAGATCGAAAAAGATCCTACAAATCTTGAAATAAACACTTAAAGATCATAGAAACCTTGAAACCATTTTAAAATTCCTGAAATACAGAAGATTCCTGGATCCTGGAAATCATAGAAATCTTGTTTTCTAGAGATTCTAAAGAGTTTGCAAATAATAAGGACCATAGACATCTTAAAGACAAACAGTCAGTAAACTTGACTATTCTAAAATCACAGATTCCAAACCCTAAAGATATAAAAGGTCACAAAAATTCTAATCAGCATAAAAATCCTAAAGGTTATAAACATTCTAAAGTCTACGCAGATATGAAAAAATTCAAGGATTCTAACGATTTGAGAATCCTAAGATTCTAAAAATATTCTAGAGAAAGAGTCTGTAAAAAACATACTAATCTTAAAATAAACTTTTAAAAACTTTAATAAGAAAACCTAAAGAGATCTTCAAGTTCCAAAAAATACAAAAGAATCCTGGATTATAGAAATAGTAGAAATGGTCAAAATTATAGAAAAATTACATATACCAGACATCTCAAAAATCCCAAAGGCATTTGAAATTCTGCATATTGTAAAGATCTTAGAGACTATAGACATTCTATATATTTTAGTGATACTAAAGCTTGTAGAGAATCTAAAAATTCTCATGAATTTAAAATAGAAATATGGGGAATTTTTAAATTCTTATTACATATTTAAGATTCAAAAATCTCCTGATCTAAATCATTTTATCAAAGTAGTGATAATTTTGGTCGTGAATAATCCAAAGTACTCCAAATAACTAATTGATAAGATGATGGATATTGTCAAAACTTTAAACATCCCAAAGACCTGAAAAAATTATAAACTTATTTTTCTGAAAATTCTGAAAATTCAAAATATCTATATAATATTCAAGATTAAAGGTTGCAAATAAATACCCCGAAAATCATAAATAGTACAAAGATTTTAAAAGAAATTAGAAATCCGAAGAATCCTACATATCATAGAGATTCCAAAAATTCGTGTGATTCTAACATAAAAATTTTTAGTTCCTGATAAGCTTAACAAGATAGTAAAAACCCAAAAATATCCAATAAATCCTAAAATAAACTCTTAAATATTTCAAAAATTCCAAGGACTTAAAAAATTAGAAATCTGAAGATTCGCGAAGACCATAAAATTTCGTATGATTCTAGAGATCCTAAAAACTATAAAGCCCTTAAAGATGCTAAATAGATCTACAAATATTTTGAAGATAACAACATTGGGAAACAAGCTAGAGATGGTAAACATATTAACGATCTAATCAATCTTAAACATTCTAAAACTAAAGAGCTAACCTTCGTTTGTTAATTTATTTATGTCGATATGCAACCAACATTACACACGTGTTTGTTTAATTGCATAATCTGAAAAGGACTCGAAACCGAGAAGACATACGTTCAAAAACGCACAGCGTAAAGTCACCATAGAAACAATACTTTTATGTTTATGTCAGTTTATTAAAGCGTCATTTTTTTTTTATTCGAGAAGAATTTAGTACCGAAATGCAAAACAATGTACCCTACTTTACTCTTTTTAGTTCTGTCTATTTCCCACCCGACACTGGCTTATGAAGATAAACCGAACGAGTACACCAAGTTCGACTACTGCACACTGAACTGCGGTGAGGACGTACACTCTGCTTGCAAGTGTGCCAGAACACCACCACGAGAGGAAATGAGGCATGTGCCTTACATGGAATTTAGAACGATGGTCCTCGCCGAACATAACAAATGGCGGGACTACATAGCGTCAGGCAAAGAAACCAGGCCACAAGAAGGTGAGACACTATTCGAGTGTACAACAGTTTTAAATTTTTTTGTGTTCAGGGTGGTCTCCAGCTGCTGGTAACATGATGGTGATGAGTTATGACCTCGAGCTGGAATACATCACTCGATGTCGTGGAGTGACGAGTTACAGACACAGTGACAAAGACCCAACAGGTCACGATAAGTGCAGAGTTCGCATTGGCAACTTCCGTGTTGGGCAAAATTTGCACGGTCATAACAAAAATGACACGAATAAGATTATCATTGCAGGAATAAAGGACTGGTATGATTATTCGCACACGATCAATAAACCAAGCAAATTTTTTTTTGTCTCTGTGTAGGTACGATGAAGTAAGTTTGGTGAAAAAGGAAGACTATGTGGACACATTTCCGGGAGACCCTGGCGGTATTGGACAGTTCACCCAGATGGTTTGGTGGAGTGCTAACCGAGTGGGATGTGCGATGATTTATAATCCCGATAGCAGGAAGGCTTGGCGGCATACTCTGATCTGCAACTACGCAAGTTTCATTACTCCCAACTCAACTGGAAATATAAAAGGAGCACCAATGTACAAAAGAGCAGAAACTCCATGTGACAGTTGTCCGAATGCAACAGTGTGTGGCGATACCCCCGAATACCCATCGTTGTGCGGCAAACAGGAACCGATACCAACAGACGCCCCGGGATTAATTAGAAAGCTTGGTAAAAATCGTGGTGAAACAGACGCAAAAGGAAGCAAAATCCTCGTGTATGTTCCGATTATAGTTTTCTATTTGGTGTATTAAATTACTCGCAGCAGTGTTTCTGACATCATTTGGATCTACGTTAAAAAATGATAATTGCTTCGTTAAGTTAATAAAAGTGAAAAATAACTTCAAGAACGGTATTTTATTACTTACAAGCTGACCCCGTAAACTTCGTTGCACCTACAATTTCTGTGTTTAGTTTTGATTTCGGTTTGGTGGCAGCAACATCAGAGTCCGTTTTGGCTTAAAAGTAGGGCTCTTTTCACGAATTTCTAATTTATTATTAATAAATATTAGTGAAAATGTGTTGCATTAGTACTGTGAACACGAACGAAGATGGATATTTTTCCGAAAAAATACCGAAAACAGGGTAAGTACGACTTCAGTTTTAATTTATCGGATTCCGTGATTCGTTCACTCGACAATGTTTAAATTTTGGGAAAATTTTCGAAACGATCGAAATCGGTTGATCAAAGCTATACATTTTCACGATATAAATAAATAAATTTTAAATATAATTAATATCATTTATAATGCTTAAATATGATAAGCATCAATAATATGAAAATTAAACCGAAATTCGTTTTCCTTCAAACCCGAAATTATAAAAACAAATCAATTTGTTTAAACAATGTTAAATTATCGCCGAAAATGTGCATTTTCCCGGCTAAAATATGAAAAATAATTTTTGCAGTCTCATCGTGACGTACGATGACGTCAATGTCACGTGAGCTACCCATATAAAGGTCACGTTTTTCGGTCCTTTGTGTTCAGTATTAATTTCTGTTTGATGGCGGCAAGATCGTCGCTTCATTTTGGCGCAAAAGTGGAGCGTTTTAGCGAATTTCTAGTTTATTATTAATACATATTACGGAAAATATGTTGTGTTAGTGCTGTGAACACGAACGAAAATGGATATTTTTCCGAAAAGGACCTAAAACAAGGTAAGTACGACTTCAGTTTTAATTTATCAGATTCCGTGATTCATTTGGTTGACAATGTTTACATTTTGGATACATTTTTGAAACGATTGAAGTTGGTTGATCAAAGCTATACATTTTCGCGATATAATTAAATAAAATTTAAACATAATTAATACAATTCATAATGTTTAAATATGATAACTATCAATAAATGATAATTAAACCGAAATCCATTTTCCTAAGAACACGAAGTTAGCAAAAAAAGGAATATAGGTAAATAGAATGGCAGATCAAAATTAATAAAAAACTTTCGCAATGTGTAACTAAATTCACTTTAATCAAGAATTTTCTTAAAATAAGCGCCGTTTTTTTTTACGAAAAAACAAAGAACGATTTGAAATGCAACATACTTTTCACAATCGCACGGAAGAAATAGTTTTGTATGGCACGCCAGTTAGACGACAGGTCCGGCAGGAACGCCAACTATTGAAATTAATTCGAAGTGGCGATTCCCATACAAAATTTTTAGAATTTAATTTTTTAGCTGTTCGTTTTTTTTATAAATTTTCTAAAAATTCCAAAAATTCCAAAAAATCCAAAGATACCAAAGATACCGAAGATTCCAAAGATACCAAAGATTCCAAATTCTAAAGTTCTAAAGGTTCTAAAGGTCCTGAAGGTTCCAAAGATTCTAACGATTTTAAGAATTCTAGAAATTCTAATTAGATTCTGGAGATGCCAAGGCTCCGGAAATTCTAAAGTTTTTAGAGAGTCTCAATATTCTAAAGATTTCAAAGATTCCTGAAATTGATTGTAAATATTCCAGATTCCAGAAATTTCAAAGATTGTGTTAATTCTAGAGACATTAAAGAATTTAGAGATTCTAAATATGGTACAAATTCTAGAGTCTAGCGATTCCAGTCATTTTAGAGATTCGAAAGATTCTAGAGATTCTAAAGATTCGAGAAATTCTATAGATTTTAAAGATTCTAGAGATTTTAGAAATTCGAGAAAATCTAGAGATTTTACAGATTCTAGAGATTCTACAGATTGTAGAGATTTCGAAGATCCCCAAGATTCCAAAGAATCCAAAAATTCTAAAGATTCCAAAGATTCTAAAGGTCCTAAAGGTCCTAAAAGTCCTAAAGATCCTAAAAATCCTAAAGATCCTAAAGATCATAAAAATTATAAAGATCATAAAGATTATAAAGATTATGAAGATTATAAAGATTATGAAGATTATGAAGTTTATGGAGATTATGGAGATTATGGAGATTATGGAGGCTATGGAGATTATGGAGATTATGAAGGTTATGAAGATTATGAAGATTATGAAGATTATGAAGATTATGAAGATTATAAAGATTATAAAGATTACAAAGATTATAAAGATTATAAAGATTCCAACGTTTTTAAGAATTCCAGAAACTCTAATTAGATTCTGGAGATGCCAACGTTTCTGGAAATTCTAAAATTTCTAGAGATTCTAGTAATTCTAGAGATTGCAGAGAATTTAGAGATTCCAAAGATTCTAGAAATTCTGAAGATTCTAGTAGGATCATTAGAATCTTCTGAATTTCTAGTGATGCTACAAAATGCTAAGAATTTAAAAATTCTAGAAATCGGACAAGTTTCAAAATCTAGCTACTCCAGCCATTCTAGAGACTCTGATTCTAGAGATTATAGAGAATTTAGAGATTTTAAAGACTGGATATATTTTAGAGTCTACCGATTCCAGCCGTTCTAGAGATTCCAAAGTTTCGACAAATTCTAGAAATTACAAAAATTCTAGAGTTTCTAGAGATTTTAGCGATGATGGAAATGCAAAAGATTTAGATTCTACAGATTCTATAGATTCGAGTACCTAATTCTATAGATTTTAAAGATTCTAGACACTTTAGAAATTCAATAAATTCTAAAGATTTTACAGATTCTAGAGATTGTAGAGATTTAAAAGATTCCGAAGATCCTAAGAGTCCTAAGATTCCAAAGATTCCAAAAATTCCAAACGTTCCAAAGATTTCCCAAAATTCCAAAGATTACAAAGATTCCAAACAATCCAAAAAATGCAAAGAACTCAAAGAATCGAAAGAACCTAAAGATTCGAAAAATTCCAAAAATTCCAAAGATTCCGAAAAATACTAAAGGTTCTGAAAGTTCTAAAGGTCTTTAACGTTTTAAAGATTCTAAAGATTCCAAAGATTCTAACGATTTTAAGAATTCTAGAAATTCTAATTAGATTCTGGAGATGCCAAAGATTTTGGAAATTCTAAAGTTTTAGAGATTCTCAATATTCTAAAGATTTCAAAAATTCCTGAAATTGGTTGTAAACATTCCAGATTCCAGAAATTTCAAAGATTCTGGTAATTCTAAAGACTAAAAAATTTAGAGATTCTAAATATGGTACAAATTCTAGAGTTTAGCGATTCCAGTCATTTTACAGATCCTAAAGATTCTAGAGATTTTAGAGATTCGAGAAATTCTAAAGATTTTACAGATTCTAGAGATTCCACAGATTGTAGAGATTTCGAAGATTCCCAAGATTCCCAAGATCGCAAAGATTCCAAACACTCCAAAGACTCCAAATATTCCAAACAATCCAAAAATTTAAAAGATTCCAAAAATTCCAAAGATTCCAAAGATTCCAACGTTTCCAAAGATTCCAAAAATTCTAAATGTCCTAAAGGTCCTAAAGATCCTAAAGATCCTGAAGATCCGAAAGATCCTAAAGATCCTGAAGATCCGAAAGATCCTAAAGATCCTAAAGATCATAAAGGTCATAAAGATCATAAAGACCATAAAGATTATAAAGATTATAAAATTCCAAAGATTTTAACGATTTTAAGAATTCTATAAATTCTAAATTGAATCTGGAGATGCCAAAGATTCTAGAAATTCTAAATATTCCAGATTCCAGAAATTTCAAAGATTCTAGTACTTCTAAAGGTTGCAGAGAATTTAAAGATTCTAAAGATTCTAGAAATTCTGAAGATTCTAGTGATCCTACAAAATGCTAAGAATTTAGAAATTCTAGAAATCAGACAAGTTTCAAAATCTAGCGACGTCTGCTATTCTAGAAACTCTGATTCTAGAGATTATAGAGAATGTAGAAATTTTAAAGACTAGACATATTTTAGAGTTTAGCGGTTCCATCCATTCTAGAGATTCCAAAGTTTCGACAAATTCTAGAAATTGCAAAAATTCTAGATATTCTAGAGGTTTTAGAGATGCTCGAAATGCTAAAGATGTTAGAAATTCCAGACATTGTAAAGATTCGAGAAATTTTAAAGGTTTCAGAGATTCTTGAATTGGTTGTAAATAATCTGAAGATTCCAGAGATTTCAAAGATTCTCGTAATTCTAGAGACTGTAGAGAATTTAAAGATTCTAAAAATGATACAAGTTTCCAGTCATTCTAGAGAATCTGAAGATTCTACTAATCCTAGAGATCACAGAGAATTTAGAGATTTTAGAGATCGTACAAGTTTTACAGTCTAGCGATTCTAGCCATTCCAGAGACTCTGAAGACTGTAGTAATTTTAGAGATTGTAGAGAATTTAGAGAATCTAGAAATTATATATATTTTATGAAGATTTGAGAAATTCTAAAATGTTCAAAAATTCTAGAGATTCTGGAAGTTTTAGAGAATATGGACATTGGACATGCTAAAGATTAAGATCCTACAGATTCTAGGGATCCTAAAGATTCGAGATATTCTAGAGATTGTAGAGGATTTAGACATTCTAAATATGTTACAAGTTTTATTAGAGTCCAGCGATTCCAGCTAATCTAGAAACTCTGATTCTGGAGATTATAGAGAATGTAGAAATTTTAAAGACTAGACATATTTTAGAGTCTACCGATTCCAGCCATTCTAGAGATTCCAAAGTTTCGACAAATTCTAGAAATTCCAAAAATTCTAGAATTTCTAGAGATTTTAGAGATGCTGGAAATGCAAAAGATTTAGATTCTAGAGATTCTAAAGGTTCGAGAAATTCTATAGATTTTAAAGATTCTAGACACTTTAGAAATTCAATAAATTCTAGAAATTTTACAGATTCTAGAGATTGTAGAGATTTAAAAGATTCCGAAGATCCTAAGAGTCCTAAGATTCCAAAGATTCCAAAAATTCCAAACGTTCCAAAGATTTCACAAAATTCCAAAGATTACAAAGATTCCAAACAATCCAAAAAATGCAAAGAACTCAAAGAAT